TGTTATTTGTATAAAAATAAATACTGAAAAGAATTTCAAATAGTGATTTTACTAACTATTTAAAATAATCTATTTAATTGAGCTTAAGTTGGGCTGAATAATGAGTTCAAACTCGGCTAATAGATTTTTCGTGCATAATCGAATGACTAAATTCGGCCACTCACAAATAATGATGTTTTAGTTTAGGAAACAAATAATTAAGTTCGACTCAAATATAATAGAACTGAATCATCGTGTTTTGGGTAGTGCTCCTCAATTGACAATAAAACATATATAAGATTCCATAACTGGACCTCATTAGCAATAAAATACATGGGCCTTAGAGTAGACCGTCAGCAAACAAGCCCAATAATGTTTAGAAGAAGAAAATTAATTGGGTTAGAAAAAGTACTAAATTTTTTTATTTTTTTTTTTAAAGAAAAAAGTTAAAATTGATGTAAATTATTCTTTGTTAAAATAAAATTAAAGGCATTGATCCCATTCCACATTAATTTTATAATAAAAAGTTCTTGTGAGCCTTCATCTATTTAATTTTCAACATAATCAACACTTGAAGGTACACGATCTCTTATTAACTTTATAATCACTTTTTAGCATTGAGTTAACAATCAGCACGCGGCATCATCTGACTTAAGCGCCAGAGTGTAATCGTATGTGTCATAAAGTGTGTTAATTGGTTTTGTAGTAAGACGAACAAAGATCAGACACTTTCGGTCAACGAGAGCTTGTGGCATTGAACCCGCGTTCCCGATCAACTCTTCAGTTCGATTCCCGATTACCAATCTTCATTGATCCCGTTACCCATATCAAAAGTTGTCCCATTTAATTTCGTTTTATTGTTTGATATAAATTATTATTTTTTTAATAATTTTTTTCCTCTTAACTAAGACGATATAATAATATAGTATCATGCACCATATACGTATGCTGTCTCCATGCAGCCATACACGTATATGCATGCACTAATATAATCCTCCTTTGACGTAACTAATTCAACGCTTACTAAATCTAAATACATTACATTTATTAAATCATTCTACTTATTTTAAATAACTAATTAGGCGCTGGCAAATTAAATTGAATAAAATGAATTAAGCATCATATTCATTCAACGTCTGTTGAATTATAAAATTAAATAAATAATAATTAACGACTGTCTAAACTAAATGACGTGGTGGCTAATTTAAGGCAAGCCTCCTGAAAAAACCCCTGGATTTGTGACAGAACTAATTTACTAGAAGTATCTTATCTTATGTAAGCAGATCTTACATTTTCCTTTTTCAAAATAAAATGACGACATTGCCCATTAAATTAATAATTACCTAATTACATTTCATTAAATAATATTTTTCACAACTGCTTATTAAAATAAATCGATGAAATACAGGAAACGGACGTGTCAAAATTTTGTTCGCTCTCTCCCTCTCTCTCTCACACACACACATTGAAATATTACTATTAGGATGTCTTAATATAGACCCTAACAGAGAACATAAAACGTAAGCATGACAATTTTTATCTGATCCGCGAGTAATGCCCGCTCTGCAAATAAAAGAGTAGGGTACGGGTTCTATTTTTCCCCCCGAAAATGGGTTTGGGGTGGGTGCGGGTTTGTGTATACACGCCCCATAGACCCGCCCTGCATGTAAATCTATATTAATTTATTATATTTTATTTATTTATATATTATAAAAACCTTTTAAAATCCTTTTCTTTTTATTTTATTTTTTGTTAAGAATTTTCCAGATTCATATTATTGTTAGAAAATGTGAAGTTTGACGATAATTTTTTTTAAACATAACGGGTTTTTTTTTTTATGAGGCGGGTACCCACTGGTTTTTTTGCGGGGCGGATGCAGTTTTTGGGGCGGGAGTTTAGTAGGTTTTCTAACGGGGCGGGTGCGGGGATGCCGAATATTCCGCCACATCGGCATCCCTAATAAGACGAACTTAATGATATTCCTTAATTAATTTCATGAGTTTGACAGTTCATACCAAATGTATGATCAATTTCTATTTCAAAACAAATTAAAAATAATATTGAGTAATAATTAATTTTATTAATTCTGGTTGAGGAAATATTAATATTGAGAAAGACTTACGTGGACATACAGAATGCCCCAAATATGGAAACAGTTGTTATTGCATGCAGCAGGTAAGCACGTGTTACACTCTAACTATCAATTGTGGAAAAACAAATTAATGCAATTAGAAATCGACAACAATTACTTGTGTGCAGTATTATTATTAACGTTTATTTCTTTTAACGTTGAAACCAGATAAAGATTGATTTATGACTTCAGGTAATAAATAGTTTTATTTCGTCACCTATGACATATATTTCGGACATTCTTGATATTAAATATTAACAACGTATATCGTATTAAATTAGTAACATCTACTAATTTAATTTGGAATATAATATAGTGAAAAGTTCACAAAAACTAATCTATAAATAATACATCACATTACATTATATACTTTCAATTATATATAATTGCTTGCCTACTTAATTAACTGATTTCCAGCATTGATCAGTTTTCTATCAACACGAAATATCTAACTTGAGCGCCAGAGTGTAACCACCGGACTATTGATAATTTGCATGTCATATGTATAGTGTGTTTTGTAGGTGCATGCATGCATTCTTCATTTGGTCAGCGTCAGGGCAGGTCCTGGGAATTTTGGGGCCCCAAGCAAATTTTGAAAAAAATGTCTTCTTATTGATTCAAAATTATTTAGCTTCATTCAACTTATTTTATGCCATAGAGCTCAGAGGAAAAAAGAAATAAAAAACAAAAAACAATGGCTTTTCTTTCTTTTTTTCTGAAAATAAAAGTTTTTTAATTAGTCTGATTTTGTCTCCTTTTAATTTCACATGTTAAGCATACGAGAGGATTTCTTTTTTTTTTTTTTATGAATTATGATTTTCATACTGAAAAGAACTCTATGTATATATATTTAAAAATTTTTGTATATATTTATATACTATTTTTTTTTTAATTTGGGGGCCTTTAGGATTTGGGGCCCAAAACAGTGGCTTGTGCTGCAAATAGTCAGGGCCAGCCCTGGTCAGCTTTAAGCTCTATGTAATAACCTTCGACGCTTCATAGTCGACTTTCCAACTCCAACTATCGAGCTATCCATCTAGATCTAGTGTACCACATTAGTATCGACTATCGATCCATTTGAAAATGAGAGAATACTATTAGAAAGTTTTACTGGAGATATTAATATTAAATAATATATTTCAATAACAGCTTAATATTTTGGTAAAAGTGGTCATTTAATATCGTACAACAAAGAGAAATGAAAATGAATAGGGGCATGCTAAATCCCACACTAAAATTTACTAAATCTCACACATAAATTAAAAAAAAAATTATTTCTCTCTAACTTTTTCTATGATGATTTTTTCAAGTCACTCAAAATTCGTTAATCTTTCACGTGAATAATCATAAAAAGTGAGTTTAGGTTTATTTAATATTTTTCAATTTCATTATGCCTTTTTAATTATTTAAATTCATATGAATTCGAATTTTTTCTCAAATTCCAACTTTATTTTTGTTTGAACACATGAAGATTTTTCTCAAATTCGAACTTGGAATGATATTATATGGACGTTTTTAGTGTGTGATTTTGTGAAAAAGTTAGGGAAAAAGAAGAAGAATGGGGAATGAAAAGATGAGATTTTACAGAAAGAATTTTTTTCAATTGTGTGTATGATTTGACAAAATTGGTGTGGAATTTAGCATATCAAAAATGAATAACAAATGAATAACATTATGAGGTGTCGAAATCGTAGCATTAAATGCGAAACATTATGGTTTTTGATCCAATGAAGCAATCTACGGAAGAAGAAATTATTTCCATATAATTGGGTAAGCGATGTAACTAACCGTACCGACTAATCTCAGTCTTCTATCTTAATATTTTTTTTTTGCCAATTAAGGTCAAACCCATCTATTTAGCTGCCACCTGTCCCTGCCATATATTCAACCCTAAATTATTACCTTCAGCTAATTATTGCCAAATTTCCTCTTTTGAATATCACCTGGTCGGTGGATTTTTACTGCTGATCTACACACACTAATATGAGTGTATGTGCAGTTTGTAATTATTGTATATATACCATCCGATGTAGCATAGTATTAACTCAGTTTTGCGAATTTTGAGTTTGGTGAAATTTGACTGATGATTTTAGTTGTAGACTTGTATCAAGCATATAGAACAAAAATTGAATGTTAGACGTACAATAACACCTAACGAATTTAATATAACATGATAATATTCTTTTTAAATCTTTCTTGTGTTTAAAGTAACTTCGAGTCGTCGTACGTTAAATTTGTACTGTGATCCCACTTCCAAATATAGCCTTCCAAAAATTCCCCTCACAAAGATAAATAATAAACCACCCCAATCATGATAGTTGAAGATAACTTATTAAAATGAAAAGCAAGCACCTATATTATATTAATTAATTATCTCAATCCCCACCTGATTTCATATTTTATGCTAATTGTCTATGATATAGAGAGAGAGAGAGAGAGAGAGAGAGAGAGAAGAGAGAGAGAGAGAGAGAAGAGAGAGAGAGAGAGAGAGAGAGAGAGAGAGAGAGAGAGAGAGAGAGAGAGAGAGAGAGAGAGAGAGAGAGAGAGAGAGAGAGAGAGAGAGAGAGAGAGAGAGAGAGAGAGAGAGAGAGAGAGAGAGAGAGAGAGAGAGAGAGAGAGAGAGAGAGAGAGAGAGAGAGAGAGAGAGAG